TTTTTTTTTTTTTTTTTTTTTTTTTTGAGAGGGAGTTTCGCTCTTGTTACCCAGGCTGGAGTGCAATGACACGATCTCGGCTCACCGCAACCTCCACCTCCTGGGTTCAGGCAATTCTTCTGCCTCAGCCTCCTGAGTAGCTGGGTTTACAGGCACACGCCACCATTTTTTGTATTTTTTAGTAGAGACGGGGTTTCACCATGTTGACCAGGATGGTCTCGATCTCTTGACCTCGTGATCCACCCACCTCGGCCTCCCAAAGTGCTGGGATTACAGGCTTGAGCCACCGCGCCCAGCCGGCCTCTGTAGCTTTCTAATGCCATTTAATGCTGGTTACAATGTTACTCATGCAGGGAATCATTCACTGTGTTGCCTAAATACCAACTTCCAATGACTCTCTCAAAGGTTACTTTATTACTTTACATTGCTGACGATGATCACAAACACAAGTCTTGTCCAGAATATGCAAAAAAATGAGAATGATAGTTTTCAGGCCATGTAGAATTTGCCATTTGGAATTTTGTAGCATAAACATAAAACATAACTTCTATTCATGTCTTGTCTTAAACTCTTCAAGCCATAATTATTGCATTCCTAGAATGTGACCTCTTTCACAACTAACCACATTCCTACCTTCCACACATTACCATCAGCCAGGGTCCTGTGGGCAGAGTGAAAACAGCATCCCATTCATGCAAGGAGGAATTATCCTTCACCTTGCACAGATTAAGACCAATCCAAGAGAGCATGTTATCACCCACCAGTTGGAGGCAAGAGAGAACATTGATAGGAAATACCCCATTGGGGCTGGGAAAGGTGGCTGGTGCCTGTAATCCTAGCACTTTGGGAGGTCAAGACGGGTGGATCACTTGAGGCTAGAAGTTCCAGGCCAGCCTGGCCAACTTGGTGAAACCCCATCTCTACTAAAAATACAAAAATTAGCTGGGCACAGTAGCACATACCTGTAATCCCAGCTACTCAGGAGGCCAATCCAGGAGAATTGTTTGAACCTGGGAGGCAGAGGTTGCAGTGAGCTGAGATGGTGCCACTGCACTCCAGCCTGGGTGACAGAGCAAGACTCCATCTCAAAAAAAAAAAAAGTGCCCCACTGGCACTGAGGAGCAAGAGTCTCAAAATCCTTACAGAAGACAGGGGTGGTCGCTGCACACCTCCACGTGGTATGTATCCTACAAAAGGGATGGAGTAACTGCTTGGGGGCCAGCAGTGGGAGTTCACAGGGTAAGAAACATGTATGCTACTACTGCCACCCCTGGGTGCTGTGAACCAGAATTAGTACAGCAGTAAGAGCATGGACAGCAAAAGCCTCCACACATGCAGCTGAACCCTTGAGATCAGTAGTAAGTGGTCACTGGTGGCCCAGAGTCCTGGATTCATCCTGCGTCCAGGATATATTTGAATCACCCAAAATCAGGTGTCAGCACCTTTCTGGTGGTCCTCTCTGGCGAATCTCAAAAAACAAAACAAAACAGGAAAAACCACACCAGCCAGAGGGAGAAATCCACTTCCCAAGCCACCTTCCTGGAACAAAGGCCTGGCCTTAGGGCCCCAGATGGACTCTCTTAGGTGCAAGTCTAAGAACTCTTTGTTTTTGTTTTTTGTTTTTTTTTTTTTTTTTGAGACACAGCCTCACTCCGTAACCCAGGCTGGAGTGCAGTGGTACAATCTTCACTTATTGCAATCTCCACCTCCTAGGTTCAAGCAATTCCCCTGCCTCAGCCTCCCAAGCAGTTGGGATTACAGGTACCTGCCATCACAGCCAGCTTTATTTTGTTTTATTTTATTTTATTTTATTTTGGTATTTTTGGTAGAGACAAGGTTGTTGGCCAGCCTGGTCTTGAACTCCTGACCTCAGGTGATCCACCCGCCTCAGTCTCCCAAAGTGCTGAGATTAGGCATGAGCCACCATGCCTAACCAAGTCTCAGAACTCTTTGGCAGCACCTAGTTCACCCCACACATGGCAGTGGGGAGACAGTGCTCCAAAGGGGAGAAATGGGACCCAGGCCCACACCAGTCATAGTCTAAGCTCAGAGCACTCCATCCACGTGGCACTGCTGACCTCAGCCAGTCCCAGATACTGTAGTGGGGGAATGTCCTATATGGAAGGCACTCCAAAGTGTAGGGGAGCCCTGAGGGCAGTGACCCTGCTTGCTCAGGTATAAGGACTCTACTGGCCCTAGAATATAAATTTTGTGGCCATCCAAGGAATGAAAATTTAAAAGTCCAGTAAGATCCCACATATCCACATATTGCCAACACACCTGAAACTCAAACCCGTGCTGATGGTATCACACTTCGTGTTACAGTGCTGCCTCCAGAAGGATTCCATCAATGTACCATGTGCTCTCTGTGGCAGTGAGCCATGCAACATCACCACCAAATGCAGCTGCCATCAACTGAACCCCATCATGGGCCATTTAATCTTATCTAATCCTCACAACAACCCTGTAAAGTAGCTACTGTCATTTCTCATTTTACTGATAAGAAACCTCAGATTCTGAGAGCTGAGGGCAATTCCCATAGTCACAATTGCTTTTTTTGAGTAGCAGAGCTGAGATATTCTCACGTTTATCCCAAGAATTGATTCTTTTCTCCTACAGCACACCACATCAGATTAACTACCTGAGCAGTTCAACATCTTTGTTAACAGTTTTGAAACATTAGCCGGGCGCGGTGGCTCAAGCCTGTAATCTCAGCACTTTGGGAGGCTGAGGTGGGTGGATCACGAGGTCGAGAGATCGAGACCATCCTGGTCAACATGGTGAAACCGCATCTCTACTAAAAATACAAAAAATAAGCTAGGCATGGTGGCCTGTGCCTGTAATCCCAGCTACTCAGGAGGCTGAGGCAGGAGAATTGCCTGAACCCAGGAGGTGGAGGTTGCGGTGAGCCGAGATCGCTCCATTGCACTCCAGCCTGGGTAACAAGAGCGAAACTCCATCTCAAAAAAAAAAAAAAAAAAAAAAGGCCGGGCCGTGGTGGCTCAAGCCTGTAATCCCAGCACTTTGGGAGGCCGAGGCGGGTGGATCACGAGGTCGAGAGATCGAGACCATCCTGGTCAACATGGTGAAACCCCGTCTCTACTAAAAATACAAAAAATTAGCTGGGCATGGTGGCTGCGTGCCTGTAAGTCCCAGCTACTCAGGAGGCTGAGGCAGGAGAATTGCTTGAACCCAGGAGGCGGAGGTTGCGGTGAGCCAAGATCGCGCCATTGCACTCCAGCCTGGGTAACAAGAGTGAAACTCCGTCTCAAAAAAAAAAAAAACAAACAGTTTTGAAACATTAATTCATAGAAAAACTAGTATGGGAGGGATAGTAATATAGGCCCCAAGATCCCTGGAGCCCACCTGATGTCTAGGCTCTGACTCAAACTAATTAAACCAATATTGCTAGAAGAGGGCCCTAGACTTTTTATTTAATTAAAAAAATTTTAAACTCCCCAAGGTAATGTTTTGTTGTTGTTGTTTGCTTGGTTGGTTGTTTGTTTATTTTGAGACAGAGTCTTGCTCGGTCACCCAGGCTGGAGTACAATGGCTTGATCTTGGCTCACTGCAACATCTGCCTCCCAGGTTCAAGTGATTTTCCTGCCTCAGCCTCCCAAGTAGATTGGATTGCAGGCTTGCACCACCATGCCAGACTAATTTTTATATTTTTAGTAGAGACAGGGTTTTGCCATGTTGGCCAGGCTGTCTTGAATTCCTGACTGCAGGTGATCCACCCACCTCGGCCTCCCAAGGTGTTGGGATTATAGGCATGAGCCACCATGCCTGGCCAGTAATGTTAATAAGCAGCCAAAGTTGAGAACAACTTAACAAAAAAAAATTTTTAAGACAAGGTCTCACTCTGTCACCAGGCTGGAGTGCAGTGGTGCAATCATAGCTCACTGCATCCTCAATCTCTGGGGCTCAAGCAATCCTCCCACCTCAGCCTCCCAAATAGCTGGGATCACAGGCATTTGCCCCCATGCCTGGCTAATTTTTATATTTTTTTGTAGAAATGAGGTCTCCATATGTTGCCCAGGCTGGTCAAGTGATCCTCTCACCTCAGCCTCCCAAAGTGATAGGATTACAGGCATAAGCCACCACACCTGGCCAAAAACTTGTACAGAGTGTTCTGAAGACAACATTTGAATATCTTGCAAACAGTAGAGGAGACATCCCTTGGTCAATAAGTAGGTAGTAATTGATTAATAAATGTGTCAATGGAGAATATAGAAAAAAACTTAATAATAGAGATCCTTCCACAAAGATGCTTGTGACCTAACTAGGATCATATAGGGTATACTCAAATTAATTAAGGGCTAATTAAGTAGTATATATAGATCCCACAATTTCTTACTTGAAACTTTTGGGGCCAGTGCATTTTGGCCAACTTTTCAGATTTTAAAAAGCAATATTGAACGTTAACGTGTGTATGCTTATTTCATACATTACTAACACACTTCTAGAAGGGTCCACTCATAACTAAACACTGTGATATTTCCACAGTGAAATATGTAATGGTCACATAGCATAAATAAGGAAGATAAATAGCCTCACATTGTCGTTCTGGTTGGGTATTATATCTAAATGAGTTTTGGAGCCACTTTGAAAAAAAAAGTTCAGTTTTCAGAGATTTAGGGATTTGGGTGCTGTAGATAAAGGACTGGGGATCTGTCAGATGGGCTCAACATAGATCCTGGAAGTGTAGAGAGGAAACTACCCTGGAATTGGAAGACTTGGTGAAAGTCTTGTGAATGAGGCAGAATGTGAGCTGCAGTGAGTTAATTTTCTGTCCCTGGGAGGTGAGGTCCCCACAATGCCTTGTCACCCTGTTATCAGCCATGGAAGCTACATTTTCCTGCTTAAGCCGCTAGGGGCCTGTAGAGTATTTTGTAAATTGCTTTCCTGAGCTAGTCTACAGGGTCAGATTTAAAAAAAAAAAAAAAAAAAAAAAAAAAAAGTGACCACTTTTACAGCATCCACAATAGAGAAGTGCAGTTGTGCAAAGCCCAAGAGTCCTGTGATTACTATAAAGGCTCAGGGTGGGTAGCAGGGAAGAACGTGGGTAAAGGATACAGGTAAAGAATGTGGGTAAACGCTTCCAGTCCACATCCAGAGGCAATCTCGGAACAGGGAACAAATTGATGGCCAGGACTACAGCAGCTCTTCACTTTTTTTTTTTTTTTCCCCAGGATAAGGGATAGAAAAGGAGAGACGGAGAGCTTGGAGAAACTAGGAATCATCACTCTATTCTGCCATCTCTAATCCTAGGAACAAAATGCAAGTTGGGTGACCCACAGGGCAAAGAAGAATTCATCTGCATAATTCCTAAGATCGGGAGAACAACATGAGAAAGAGAAAGTAAAAAAGAAAGAGGAAGAGAAGGGGAAGAGAAAAACGATGATGAGTTGCTTCATTGTCCAATTGGTGACTGGAGCTTCTTGTCATTACAGGTTATAATAATGTGCTTTTTAATAACAGAAGTTAGGTAGTTGCAGTTAGGAGTGACCTGATCTGGTTTGGACAACTCGCAGAACGTCAAATCAAAAGGTCGGGAGCTTTTGTGACATTTCCCCCCCTTGAGCCCACAGGCAATGACAGGACTGTCACAGACAGCTTTGACCGTGTCTGGGTCCTCATGGATGAATGCATGCTGGGTTATGCAACTCTGATTATGCTTCTTTATCTTGTGTGCCATCATATCATTGCATTCTCTATCTGTCTGGTCAACCCGAAGATAGTCTTTGTTGTTCTGAAAGAGAGACTCAGCTCTGAGCATCTCTTTTTCTCCAACCTCATCTTCATTGAGGATGGGGTCTTCTGGCCAGCCAGGTTGCACCACTTCTTTGTTGCTAAGCACCAGGGTTTCTGCGGTTTGGGTGCCCTCTCCTGCCTCAGTGGCCTCAGCTTTTTCCTGTGAGTCACTGGACCAAAATTCATTGAGCGGCTGATCGCTCTCTTCCAAGACTGCTGCAGCCATGTGAAGCCCCAGCCCCAGGCCCAACCCCAGGCCCAGCAGCAGCATCAGCAACATGAAAAAGATCTGCACCAGATTCAACTTCATTTTGCCTGGAGAGGAAGCAGGAAATGGAAGAACGTGACTTTGAGATCAAAATTGGCCCTAGAAGAGACTGTAGTCTCCCTAAGCCCTACAGCACTGTATTTGGGGTCCCCTCTCTCTTCTCCACATTACTCTATCATCTTCAAGTCAGTGATTTCTCTTTCTTTTCCTATTTCTCTTGTCCCTCCCCACCACACTTCCTGTTGCTGTGTAGTAAAATGTGGACATTTCCTCATGTTCCTTCTCTTGAAGAGTAGGAAGATGACCAGGGGAAGCAGTTCTGAGGTAGTTTACATATGGGAAATCAATAAGGAAAGTTGACATCAAGTGATTTTTTTTTTCTTTGCTTTTGAGACAAGGTCTTGCTTTGTCACCCAGGCTGGAGTACAGTGTGACCATCATAGCTCACTGAAGCCTCAATCTCCCAGGGTCAAGTGACCCTCCTGCCTAAGCCTCCCACGTAGCTGGGATCACAAGCACGTACTACCATGCCCATGCCCAGCTTTTTTTTTTTTTTTTTTTTTTCAGACAGATATTGCTAAGTTTCCCAGGCTGGTCTCAGACTCCTGGGGTCAATCAATCATCCCATTTTGGCCAAAGTGCTGGGATTACAGGTGTGAGCCACCATGCCCCTGACATCAACTGATTCTTAAACAGAAATTAGTTCTAAACAACAAGAGAATGATTGAGAAGACAAGCATGTACAGTGTCACAGTTTCCTTTAGGGAAATTCTTGTAAAAAGCCTTATTCTCAATATAGGACTACATTTACCACAGAAGACCATCTCTTTATTTTTATCTCAAATTTACTTTTGCTCATTCAAGTATCTATTATCCTTCTTGCTACCCACTTTCTCCACAAAAGATAAAAAGGAATAGAAAAAGTACCACAGTCCACTCACACTCTAAGCTGAATCTGGAAGGAAGACATCCAATTTTACATCTTAGGCCCCTGCTAAAGTTATACCTTGTCAAGCCAGGTTCCTTCTACTACTAAAGATCCCTTAACACCTGGGTAGTCTTGCTGATTAGGTTTGTACTCTAGGGGAAGAAATAGAATAAGAATAAAACAAAAGAAAATCAAACAATTAACCTGCTGGGGGTTCCCCTACTCATAAAGATCCCTAAAGATGCCAGGTGTGGTGGCTCATGCCTGTGATTCCAGCACTTTGATAGATCAAGGCAGGTAGATCACCTGAGGTTAGGAGTTCAAGACCAGCCTGGCAAACATGGTGAAACCCCATCTCTACTAAAAATACAAAAATTAGCCGGCATGGTGGCACGCACCTGTGGTCCCAGCCATTCAGGAGGCTGAAACACGAAAACTGCTTGAACCTGGGAGAGGGAGAGTGAGCCAAGATGGTGCTACTGCACCCCAACCTGGGTGACAGAGCAAGACTCTTTCTAAATAAATAAATAAATAAATAAATAAAGATTCTAAGCGGAGTTGAGCATGCATCTTTCTCCTGCTAGGCCAGTCTCACCCCCTTATCAAAGAGAGACATTCTCTGTCAGAAAAAAAAAAAAAAATTGCTATGAAGAACATCATTGAGGCAATTGATAACATTATAGTCTCTGTAGTAGATAAGAGTATTACAGCAGTCCCCCTTATCCACAGGAAATATGTTCCAAGACCCCAGGGAATGCCTAAGGCCCTATATGCACTGTTTTCTTCCTATACATACATACTTACATAAGTTTAATTTATAAGTTTGACACAGTATGATATTAACAACAACTAATAAAATAGGACAATGATAACAATATGCTGTTCAAAATTTTACAGATAAAAGATTCTTTTTTACTGTAGATCTTAGCAACTGCAACATGTTTTTTTATTCTCCCCTTTCCTTATTAAGTTGAGAAACTTTCACCCTTTCACTTAAAGGAAGCACTTTACAGGTTCTTTTTGACATATCTGTATTGCCAGGATCATCACTCTTGCACTTTGGGGCTATTATTAGGAGAGAATAAGGGCTACTTGAACACAAGCACTGAGATACCAAGACAGTGCATCTGATAACAGCTACTGAGTAGCTAATGGGCAGGTGTATCTACAACATGGATACACTGGACAAAGGGATGATTCACATCCCAGGCAGGTCAGAGGGGACAGTGAGAGATTTCATCACATTAATCAGAACAACTGTGCAACTTTAAATGATTGTTTATTTCTGGAAATTGCCATTTAATATTTCAGACCACAGTTGACCATGGGTAACTGAAACTTTGGGTAGGGGGAACTATTGTATATATGTGTTTGATACACTGAATGTAAAATTGTACCCTGATTAAGAAAATATCCTTCTTCTTAGAAGATACACAGTGAAGTATTAAGGAGCAGAGGAGCACAATGTCTACAAAATCCTCTCAAATGCTTCAGAATATAGATATATGGATGTGTAGACATGTGCATGTTTACAGAGAGAGAAAGAAAATGATAAAATAATAAATAGGGAGGTTGGGTGAGGTGGCTCACTCCCTGTAATTCCAGTACTTTGGGAGAAGGACGGATGGATCACTTGAGTCCTGGAGTTTGAGACTAGTCTGGGCAACATGGTGAAACCCTGTCTTTACAAAACATACAAAAAAAATTAGCCTGGCATGGTGGGGTGCATCTGTAGTCCCAGCTACCTGGCAGGCTGAGGTGGGAGAATGTTTTGAATCTAGAAGGTTGAGGCTGCAGTGATCCATGATCTGTCTGCTACACTCCAGCCTGGGCAAGTGGAGTAAGAATCTATTTCTAAGTAAACAAATAAATAAGGTAAAATTTTTAAAAATAATGTATCTGGATAAAGAATATTTGAGTTCCCTGAATTATTATCACAATTTTTTGTAAGGTTGAAAATATTTCAAAAAAAAATGTTTATTTTAAAAGAGAGAACTTACATGGTGTTCCTTGAAGTACCCAACACCTCTGTAACTTACCTGCATACCTAAGCAGCTTCAAAGATTCTTGTGTCCTCTCGTTCCCCAAGTTCTTCCCTCCCAGGGTTTCCTTCTTTGTGAGCAGTGCCCTGGCTGCTAGTCTGAAGAAAAATGGTTATTTCCTGGTGGTTCACGTGATCTTAAACACACACTTACTTCCTAAACCCACTCCCCCTTTCACTTCCTCTGCCTAGCACTGAACAAACAAACTCAGCCAATTCTTTCTGCTCCCACAAACACTTTGAAGTGAGGCTATTTGGGCACTGAGATGGATCCAGACACCCAAGACAGGAAACGTCTCCAGCCTGGGAAACTGCAGACGGTCTTGTTTCCTGGAACAATTGTTCCACTCCTGAGTTACACCCACTACCATGTGGTTTATGCAGCCTGACCTTGTGCATGAATTTCAAATCTAGTCCTTTCTTATATTTGCCAGTCTTCCTTTAATCCTTTCCTATAATTTCTGCAAAGTCAAGATCTTTGACCTTCATTTGGCCATCTCTCCAATATGATTATTTTGCTTTTCACACTTTACAAGTGTATCACGACAGGATTTGAGTCAATCATGAGTTTTCACATGTCTTTACCTATACTTTTATCCAGTTGTCCACTCTCCACTCCCAATTTTCCATCCCCCAACCAATAACCATATTCCCATAGGAATATTCAGATTTTGCAAATCTGATCACTTAGCCCTAGATAGGAGACTATCCAAAGCAGCACGGTCATTATCAGTCCCCATAGCCTGGGTGAATAAAACCAAGAGGGTTACAATGTTGATCCTAAGGCTCATTCTTTAGCTGAAATTGACATTATGAGATAATATTTTTTAAATCACCTTGGAGACTCTTAAGGCACTAATAAAAATCCTCTGTAGACATAAACAAGATATTTTAAGATGTTTTCCTAAACTGTGGTATAAAAAAAAAATAAAAATAAAAGAAGATCTTCTCCTTCAGGCAGGAGTTTTCAAACGGTGGTCTAAGAGCCACTTCTGTGATCTACAAAGTCGAGTGGGCTGACTTTTTGCAGTGCTGATGTTTATAATTTGCAATAATAACAATAACAGCAACTACCAGTATTGAGCACTTCCTTTGTGCAAGGCACTTATTGCGTATTGCCCTCACAATTTGCTCGTGCTATCCCTCTTTGGTGTCAATTCTGCCCATTTATTCTGGTGAGGTCTATTTGCAATGTGAAAAGAAAATCAAGAATTCTCTGCTGAGCCCAGTAGCAGTCTAGGGTCAACAAGGGTAATGTATTCAACAACCACGAATCACGTGCTTCTTTATAACTGGAGTGTTTTGTTACTACTAGAGACCATTTGAAATTAACTTTTAATTAAATAGAAAGAATCTAAGTCTGTATAACTATAACCTTTAGACTGGGCAGGTTTTTATTTTCAGTATTTTTTTCTTTTTCCAGACTACAGTTTCCTCATCTTCTAAATTTGAATAGTTATTGGACATAAAATGGTTTATAATACTAAAAAAATTTTTTAATAATAAATGAATAAATTTGGATACTAGTAGCACTTCACAGGGCTGTTGCAAATATTATATAACGTACTGCATTTACGTAAAAGGCTAAATATATTAGTTGTTGTTACTGCTCTTACATAGCAATTACCAACACATGCTCATTACCTACCCAATCAATATCACTTTCCTGTTCAGAAATAGCACATACTAAGGATTGTAGCTACCAACACTGCTCACTGTTTCTCCTAGAAGAGTCAACCAGTATCCGGAATCTCAGAGAAGGCATTATGAGAAGCCTGATATAGGATGATCCTTCATTTCACAAATAAAGAAGTGGCTCAAGTAAGTTCATGTCCCAAAAGCTATCAATAAGTAATAGTAGTACTGATACTAAAACCCCTGACTTGTAGTTAAGCAAAATGTGTTACAGAAACTAGATAGATGGTGGCTAAATGATAGATAGGTAGATAGACAGACAGAGAGGTGTAAAGAGATAGAGGTAGACAAGATTGAGTTTAAAACTGAACCTTACAGTTCTCCCAGCTTATTTCCTAGAAAGAGTTTTCAGGCTGTGGCACAGAGAGGGAGACCCGGGGAGAGTCTGCCAGTCTTCCTGAGCTGAGGAGATGAAATTGGGGGGTCCAAGGAAGCCAAAGCAACTAGAGTTCACAGAGCACAGTACCAGTGAGGACAGAAGTGCAGAGAGAACTTCAGAGAGCTGGAGGGACGAGATATCACCGTGTATCTATCAGAATGGCTAGAAAAAATAGCAAACACACCAACTGCTGGCAAGGATGCAGAGAAACCGGGTCTTGCATAAGTTGATTGTGGAAATATAAAATGTGATGGCCACTCTGGAAAATAGTTTTTCAGATTCCTTTTTTACTGATACGTAATAGTTGTACATATTTATGGGGTTTTGATACATTGTACATGTTTATGGGACTTTGATACATTCATACAATGTTCAATGATCAGATCAGAGTAATTGGGATATCTATTACCTCAAGCATTTATCATGTCTTTGTATTGAGAACTTTCCAAATCTTCTAACTATTTTGAAATATACAATAAATTATTGATAACAATGTCATCCGGCTGTGCTACTGAACACTGTAACTTATTCCTTCTAACTCTATATGCTTACCACACAACCCAGCAATTGCACTCCTTGGGATTTAACCCAGAGGAATGAAAATGTATGTTCATATAAAAACCTGTATAGAAGTAAAATAGCAGTTCTATTCTGCTGGGAATACTGTGGACCCCTCTGTGGTGACTGAGCTACCCCAAGCTTCTGGAAGAATTGGCAAAACTCCAACTATCTGAAATAACAAGAAGAAATTGTTGTTGATTTTTGTAAATTCTCTTAGAATTTGGTTTCCCCAAAATGAGTTACTTGCTTTGTGATGCTTGTTACTGTATCGATTATATTTGAAAAAATGAAGAGTAACATGAAAAGCTGAGATGTCACTTGTAACTTTGGCTCTGCTGAGATTTAACTTGTAACTTTGGCTCTGCTGAGCTGTTCTTAAAGCAGGAACTCGGCTGGGCGCGGTGGCTCAAGCCTGTAATCCCAGCACTTTGGGAGGCCGAGGCGGGTGGATCACGAGGTCAAGAGATCGAGACCATCCTGGTCAACATGGTGAAACCCCGTCTCTACTAAAAAAATACAAAAATTAGCTGGGCGTGGTGGCGCGTGCCTGTAATCCCAGCTACTCAGGAGGCTGAGGCAGGAGAATTGCCTGAACCCAGGAGGCGGAGGTTGCGGTGAGCCGAGATCGTGCCATTGCACTCCAGCCTGGGTAACAAGAGCGAAACTCCGTCTCAAAAAAAAAAAAAAAAAAAAAAAAAAAAGCAACTCTGTGAAAGGTACTAACCACATAGCTTGACTGCCAGAGAGAGATGACAGCACATAACAGGCTTCTCGCTGCAGAGAGCCTATGAACAGATGTGTAATTGAGAGGCTTATTGCCCAGATTCCTTTCCCAGGAAAGGCATATTGATTATGGCTCTGGAATGCAACCCTTATGGAGAGCCTATAAACGGATGCATGAGGGGGCGTCTGTCATGAGGAAAAACCTCTGTGGTTGGGGTAAGGATGTAAAAGTCTTTCTTCTCCCACTGCTCCTCCACGCCTGCTCAGAGGCCCCTCTTCTCTTGCAGCTTTGTGGTCAGGCTGGCTGTACTGTGTCAAATCCTGTTCCCCCTGCAGCTGTGAGCCCAATATGTTCTTGCTGATAATCATAAGTTTATGTTTAACCTCTATTCTTGCTAAGGTGTTCGATTTCTATGCTGACACCCAGAAAGTTATCTTTACATTGTTCTGCTTTTATAATACCACGTTGTGATTTTTGTGCACCAGTTTTTGCAAATGTATTCTTTTTGTATAATTATCACTGAAACTTTGTGTAAATTCACTCTGAAAGAGACTAATAAAAAACTAAGATTTTTAGGGGAATGTCAGACATCCACAGAGCAGCATTATGTGGTGTCTCCCAGCTTTAAGGAAAAATGTTTTCTTGTTTCTCTTTCTTTTTCACTGACCACTTGATCACTTTGAGAGATCTTGAATCCACGTTGATATATTGGGAACTGTTCTCTTCAATATTATTCATAATATTCAAAACCTGGAAACCATACCAATGTTCTTCCATGGGTGATACATTAAGCAAACCGTGGTACATGTACCATGGAATACAACTCAGCAGTAAAAAGAAATGAAATATTGATACACATGATAAATTAGATGCATCTTTAGGGCATTATGCTAAGTAAAAAAAATATATCATCAAGTAGCCATGTACTGTATGATTCCGTTTACCTAACATGGAGAACAGATTCATAGTTGCAGCGGCAAGGATCATTGGGATAGGGAATCTGTGTGTCTACAAAGAGGTATCACCAGGTAGATCTTTGTGGTGATGGAATAGTTCTGTATCTTGATTGCAGTGGTGGTTACAGGAATAAACTCATAATAAAATGACTTGTAAGTACACACACACACATATACCCACACACACACATCACAATAATATTTATTTCCTGGTTTTGATATTGTTGTACTCTTTAAGTAAGATATAATCACTGGGAAAAACTGCTGACAGGTACATGGGAAATCTCTGTACTATCTTTACAACTTCCTGTGAATCTGTAATTATTTCAAAATAAAAAGGTTTTCAAAGTGTTAATGTTCATTATAGAAGTTTTACATAATAGTGTAGAGAAATACAGATAAACACATGAGACACTCATCCTACTGTTATTTACATTTTGGTGTGTATATTTTCCTCCACCCAACTCAACTCCATGTTGATATTAAGTTCAACTTGTCGATTAAAACTACAAGTTGGCCTGGCATGGTGGCTCATGCCTATACTCCCAGCACTTTGGGAGGCCAAGGCAGGCAGATCACTTGAGGTCATGAGTTCGAGACCAGTCTGTCCAACATGGTGAAACCCTGTCTCTACTGAAAATACAAAAATTAGCCAGGCATCGTGGGCACCTATAATTCCAGCTACTTGGAAGCCTGAGATAGGAAAATCTCTTGAACCCGGGAGTTGGAGGTTGCAATGATCTAAGACCTCACCATTGCACTCCAGCCTGG